CTGGTAAGTTAACCGTGGTAAAAGTCGTCGCCTTCACTTACCGGATAGGACTCATGGTCCTTGCTTTCAATATTATCGGGTGACATTTGGTTCTTGCCATATACATCTGGTAAGGTAATGTGAATTGGTAAACGTTTACCCCGGTAAGGTTTGGTAAACAGCCCCTTAGAAAACTTGAAAAAAGTATGACCAACTAGGGTTTAAAATTTTCGAACCATAATTAGATTAATAAATATATTTATATAATATTTCACAATTACATATATATATATATATATATATATATGATTTCGGATAGGTCGAGTGGCCAAAAATCAAACCCAATACGAACCCAAATATCCCAGTAAGTCGGATTTCGGATTTTCGTATTTCAGGGTATTTAGATTTAGCAGAAACACCTTATTTTGGTTTGGGTTTCAAACCATTCGTGTTTTGCACATCCCTATACATTTATGTTGGTTCCAAATGTGATGACAATAAACATAAAGTAATTTGTAGAATGGGTTGAGTACAATTTCACATACTTTTTTCAACTTTTTAATTCTTATTGATGTATATCAAAACTTAACACACAAAAATACAATACAGATTGTTGCGAAAGAAGGGAAGGATAACTTAATCTAAACAATCTTACACAGAGAAAAACTTGCAAGGACAGCAAAAAAGTACTTGCAAATAAATGAATAACACTAAGGTTTTCTTCACACACAGGAGAGTAGTAGAAGAGAGTCGATTGCCTTGATAATGCACTTAGAAATTTTTGTAGGGAAGCATGGTTTGCATGAGAGATGCATTATGCCTTTTATACAACCTTCATGCATTAAATGCATAGGAACACTTGTCACTATGGGATAAGAAGGTAAGAGTTGACTCGACCATAGTTTATATATCATTTTCATCGTACATTGCATGCACACAACACTATTCATGCATACACAAACCTACTGATAAGGAATGTGTTTATCAGGTATATGTCTTTGCAGATATATAGTCAGTTTGTAGGAAGATTTTTTTTGGATGAATTAGTAGCTTCAAACAACTACTTATAAATCTTGGTGCACGACGAACTTTTTTCAATCGGCTAGTAGCTTCAAAACATTGTCAATCTACAAATCAAATACTTTGAAGTCTTGGTGTGTAATTTAGACAGTTGATCTACAGTACCGATCAGTGTTCTTCTGTCCACATCAACTAGTTTTCGATTTTGCCAAGGGCTTTAAGTATGCAGCAATAAACCAATATACAAAGAAACCAATAATTACTAAGTGTTGATAGGACAAAAAAACAGATCAGTAGGTCATCACCAATTCAATAGGTGACCCAACAATTTATTATAGCATTGAACAATCTTCAACATAATTGTGTATATTTGAAAACATAAGAAATGACTGCAAATTACTAAATATTTATCTACTTAAATATTCAGTTTTTTATAAATTCTTATATAATTTTTTTAGTTTTTCAATATTTATCTACTTAAATATGTTATTAAAACGATATTTTAATACTAAATTTCATAAATCATAATTATAAAACAGTTACAACATTTTTATGTAAAAATGATTTTTGATAAAGTAATTAGTAAAAAAATCGAGAAAGGACAGGGATCAGTAAACGAGTTGTGATTGTTCCCATGATTTCTGAAAGAACCAGGACTAGCCCGACCCAATTTCAAAAGTACAAGTCCGGGTTTGGGCCAGGCTCAAATCCGTCCCGGTCCAAGATTTACTTTTTGTAATTGGTCTCGGTCCAAACCCAAAACACCTAGCTCGACCTCGTCTCGACCGGAGTGACCTATATTGCCATTTCCAATCTCCATTGTTAAATATGAACCATATGAAGCCTATAGGGGTGTGCATCCAGCAGGTTTGGATGGACAAACCAAAAATCCAATCAGATTTCGTATATGGAAATCAATACCTGAACTTTATGTTTCGAGTTCAGGATTGCTTTGGGTTCGGGTTGGTCGGATTTCAGGTGCAGTAATAATGCAAAAAGTATATATATTCAATCGATTTTGAGGATGAAACTCGACCTGAACCCATATATTCTTCAAAAGTCGGGTTTTGGATTTTAAGATTTTGGGAGCTTATTTTCAGTTTATGTTCAGGTACGAATTTCGAACTATTCCGATTTTACGCATAGCCCGATATGAAAATGGTTAATGTTATTGGGCTGCGTGCATTATGTTGGGCCATAAAAGCCCAGTTCTTCGATACATCACAAAAGCCCATATGTTATGGGTAAGTTCATGCATTTAAATTTTAAAGACGTGGCATAAATGCATTGAACAGTAGTAGGTTGCATCTTTCTAACAGTGAGGCTGCACGTACAGAGTCCCATCCCATCTCAAATTTGCTAATTATCACAGGTCAAGTCACCATGAAGGGAGTACAGTATGTTATGGTGCAGATGCAGACTCCCCTGACTCTTACCTTTAATTCTTTTTGGAGTAAATTACAAATTTATCTCCTTGATTGGTTCAAAATAGCAATTTTTTTTTATTAACCAGATATCCAACTCGTTATATGAACCAACTAATCTTATGCCATTACTTGCTTTGTTGATAGTGTGGAGTCACTGCATTTGAATCTCCGTGGTCACAAGGGGATTTTTATTTCTCATTGAATTTGAACCTGAGACCTGCTGGTACTTTTGACCATTGGAGGCAAGCTCAAACCAATCAGACAGCACTCTTGTGAAAATATGCATTGTTGTTTGTAAACGTTAGAAACGATGAGGGGTCGGGTCTGGGTTAGTTATTGGTATCCCCGCCCCCGAAACCAATAACCAAAACCGTTTATGTAATCGCTTCGATCCTTGTCAGGGATTTTAACGGAGATCCCCATTGGGTCTTAGTGGTTTCCCTGATCCGTATTGGGGAGTCCATTAAGGATAAAATTCTCATTCCTTGTTGGTTTTTTTCTCATTTACCGTTGGTTATATTTGATTCCAAAACCGGTCCAAGAGATTACAATATGTTAATTTTCACAATTAAAAATAAATTACAATATTTTTTTTAAACATGTAAGTCTGATGTCTCAAACATAATCAAACAAATTACAAACAATGTCTTAAATTACAATATAAAAGCAAGTAGAAGTTCAAACGATTATATTTCATTTTGCACTGTATCATGAGAACTTTTTAATCATTCTGTATCAAATCATTTAACAACTGACAAACAACCCTTCAATCCAAATAAAATTGAAAGAAAGGTTTTTGAAAATTTAAAGTGAATATCTATACTATACTTAAAATTCAAGATTACAAGTAGATTGTGCGTAAATACAACTTATTAAAACTCTATATATAAATTTGTGTAACTAACTGCAGATAAACATAATCCAATACATGATAAATATCTTATTTTAAATATAAAAAATCTAAAATATAATTATGATAATCATTAAGTTCTAAAAGAATAGTTAATTATTATCTTTATAAAATGTTATGTTATTAAACCAAAAATAAATTATTTCATTATTAAACTTAAATTAAATTATAACAAAAAAAAAAATCAAAGAAAATACCCAAAAAAAAAGAATTTTTAAATAGTTAATTTAATATTAATATAGATATATATTTTTTTCAAAATTTTATGATATATTTAAATTTATATTTTATTCAAAAATAAAATCAATATTACTTTCTTAAAAAACTAAAATCATATTATAACATCGATATAGACAAATAATAAAATAAAATATTAAAATCGAGATGTATCTCGCTGTATTACACAGATACCCTTCTAATATAAATAAAAACAAAAAATAAATCGAAACATTAAAATAAAAACATATATATATATATATATATGTATTATACAAGTATATATCCATTAAAGACAGATAAAAAGGTTCCAAAAATTGAAAAGAAAACACAAAAAGAGAGATAGAATCAAGGGCGCATGCAAAACCATCATCATGATGTCGTCTTTGTCCCACGAAACCCCTGCCTTCTCCCACTCCTTTTTTAATGAACCCATTTCTGATTCCATCTTCTCTCCCCTTATTTCTCCACATATTTACTCTTTTGCCATCCATCTCAATTGGGTTTTCCAATCTTGGAATTGGGAAGAAAACCCACAAATGGCAAGTTTGTAATTTATGCTGCCTTCTTGGGGGTAAAGATGGAAAACCAAGATTCTTGAATTATAGTTGAGGGGAAATTCACCAAAATAGTAAATACTCCCATCCCATTAACCAAATTCATTTTCCAGAATCTCTGACAGCTATGCTATAACAAAAAAGTTGGATTTTAGCAAAATTTTTTTGTTACAAGAACTATGCTATCTTGTATGTTAAAATGAAGAAATAAGCAGCAAGATTGTAAAATTTTATGAACTTAGAGAAATCTCTATATATAGAGAAAAACTATTGTTTTAATAATTTTCATCAATAAACGGGATTGAAAATAAATGTTTAGTAGAGAGCCTTACCCGGTAAGTGATGTGACGACTCTTATCACGGTTAGCGCTTACCAGGTAAATTGTTACATACAATGTCGTTTTGGCAGACTAAAATCTTATCCGATAAATAAACGATAAAATTGTATTTTATTGTTAAACACTTATCGGGTAAGCGTTTAAGTAAACCGCCCCTTAAAATTAGTGGAAAAGATGGACTATTTTTGTTAATTTACCCTCCTGCCATCAATCTCAATTGGGGTATTCAATTGGAAAGAAAATCCATAAATGGCAAATTCGTAATTGATGTTGAGTTCTTGGGGTAAAGATTCAAAGATGGCAAAACAAGATTCTTGAAATCAAGATTGATACAGCAACAGGTTTTTTGACAAAGATGGAAAACAGCGAATGAGGTAAACACAAATCCAAACAGTCCATCATATCCACCAAAAAAGTAACCCTCAAAAGACTCTTTACCCTACTCAACTTTCCTCTTTTTACAACTAGGGTTTTCTTAAAAACTCCTAAAAAAAAAATTGCTTTCACAGAATCTTTTTCCTCCAAAGATCTTTGATTTCACTCCATACCCTCATCATGATTGGTTCTAAACATAAGCTGTTTGCGAGCTCCCATGCTTATTAGCAAGAAATCAAAATGTTCCAAAGATTAGGGACGATTGGAGTTGGGGTTGAAGCTAAAAACAGCTAAAGAGCTATGCAGATCTTCGTGTGTTTAGATTTCTGTTTTGGGTTTGAAACCATTAGGATCAAAGAAGGTGTGATTGAAGAGAAGAAGAAAAAGGGTTTGGTGGGTGTTGTTTTCTTGATTCTGTGAGTATTCCATCAAGAAACCAGAAGATACTCTCTTTTGATGATGCTGGAATGTGTTGTAGTTAGTGGGTTTTGATTAACTGATTGTTATTGAGGGTTTAGGGGAAGAAGAAGATAAAGGAAAACAAAACAGATTCTGGGTTGGGTTTAAAATAAGCAGTGATGATGGCTATGGCCTGCAAGGATGGTAAGGGAGCGATTATGGATAATGGTAAGTATGTTCGCTACACACCTGAGCAGGTTGAAGCACTTGAAAGACTCTATCATGACTGTCCCAAACCAAGTTCTCTTCGTCGTCAGCAGCTCATTCGTGAGTGCCCTATTTTGTCTAACATTGAGCCCAAACAGATCAAAGTTTGGTTCCAGAATCGAAGGTACACCTTTTAATCAAGAGAATATTGGAAATCTTTGATTCTTGGTTTGATTTTTATGTAATGATTTCTGATATGTGTTGTGGGTTTTCATCATAGTTACTGAAATCTTGTTTCTTGGTGTGATTTTGCTGTAATGTTTTCTGTTATCTGTCATGGCTTTTCATTGTAATCAAGAAAATCATGCAAAGTCTTTGTTTTGTTTATTAACCTGGATATCCGACCCGTAGTCACCGGATTTGAACCTCTGTGGCCACAAGGGTTTTTTTGTTCCTCCTTGATTTGAACCTGGGACATCCGGGCACTTTTGACCTTTGGAGCCAAGTTCAAACCTATCGGGCACCACCCTTGTGGTTAGTCTTGATATGGTTTTGCTGTAATGACTTGTGATAGGTGTTGTGGGTTTTCATTATAATCAAGAAAATCATGGACATTTGCTTCTTGATGTGATTTTGCTGAAGTGATTTCTCATTCTAATGGGTGTTGTGGGTTTTCATTATAATCAAGAAAAATCATAGAAATTTTGCTTCTTGATATGATTTTGCTGTGGTGATTTCAGATAGGTGTTGTGGGTTTCCATTATAGTTCCTTATTGAGCTAAAATTTCATTGTTCTTGATGATAAAAATCAAGAAAAGAGGTTGCTTTTGTGATAGATTTGCTCTGATCTTTAGAATGTGAAGCGGGTTTTCGTTTTTTGCTTGTTTTTCAATAATCAGATGCCGAGAAAAACAGAGGAAAGAAGCTTCACGTCTTCAAACCGTGAATCGAAAGCTTTCCGCCATGAACAAGCTTCTGATGGAAGAGAACAATCGATTGCAGAAGCAAGTGTCGCATCTTGTGTACGAGAATGGCTACTTCCGCCAGCATACTCAAAATGTTAGAATCCTTTTTTCGTTTTCGAGTTCTAATGAATTTGCTTAATCTTGTTTTGTGTTTCTGTGAACAATGTTTTTGGTTCTCGTATTGCAGACTTCACTTGCTACTAAAGATACTAGTTGTGAGTCGGTTGTGACGAATGGTCAACACCGATTGACCGCCCAGCACCCGCCACGGGATGCTAGTCCTGCTGGGTTAGTTTGGACTTTGGATTGATTCAAATTTCTAGTTATTATTCATTAATGAATTGTTGATTTAGAATCTTTTTATGGTATGCAGACTTTTGTCCATTGCAGAAGAAACTTTAACAGAGTTTCTTTCGAAGGCAACTGGAACTGCTATTGAGTGGGTCCAAATGCCTGGAATGAAGGTACCCTTATTCATAATGAATGTTGATAAACCTATGTTCCTATGCTTCTTTATTCATAATGAATGTTGTTGATAACATAGCCAAGAACTCAAATAATCACCATCATATTGAGCACAAAGTGGATATCATCTTTGTGAGTATTGCATGTGAATGTTTTCCTGGTTTGCTTGCGCGCACTTCAATTAATCCCATGGGCCCCTGAAAATAACAACCACGAAAATTCTCAGTGCCCTTGGGGAGACTCGAGCTGGCGACCTATTGGGTGGAGCCCGAAGGCCTAGCCTTATTTGCTAACCAAGATTCAAGCGGGACCTCAAGGTCTATTGCATTTGAATTTAGAAATTATGACAATAATCAAGATTCACTATAGTGTTTATACTGAAATCCCGAAGATCGTCCCTTTTCAACTTTGGGGAAAGATATCGAGTTCGTTCGGTTTAATATTGCATCATGTTTGCACACATATATAAGTTTAGATGCATAAGACTGCGCCAAGCATGTCTAAGGGGTTGTTTGTTTACCTCTTAATAGTTCCATTAAGAGGCAACCTCTAAATTGTTAAGAGGTAAATCTTGTTTGGCAAAAAAATATTCTGTCTCTTAATGGTTCTAAAACCATCTGAATGAATTTGTATCCTGAATCTTCCTTAACCATTAAGAGCCCTAATTTCATTGTACACAATTATCAAAAATTTATAGTTCATTTTACGCTATATCATGAGAGCCTCTTAATCATTCTGACCACCTAATCATTATGCACCAAACCATTTAGCAATTGTCAAACAACCCCTAACTTGAGAAACTCCAAATGCTCTTAAAGCCGATTTGAATACTTGGGATATAAGTCTAAGGGGCCGTTTGGTTTGGTGGGATTTGGAAGGTTTGGAATTGGATTCCATTCCAGTCCCTCGCTTGGTTCGGGACTTGAAAACCCACAAACATTGGAACTAGAAATCCCATGAGGATAGTTGGTATTTCACGGGATTTAACGAGATTTGTAGTAATCAATTTAATAAAAGGGTATTTATTTATTTTTATAAGAGAAAATTATGTTTTTAGTCCCTGAGGTTTGTTAGAAATTGCAATTTATGTCCTTATGGTTCAGAAATTGCGGTTTTCGTCCCTATGGTTTATAATTCATTGCTATTTTCGTTCTTATGATCTACAACTAATCGTTGTTTCGGTCCTTGTAGTTTACAATTCTTTACTGTTTTGGTCCCTTGTACTTAAAAGGAAGAAATTAGCAACAGATCGCAATTTATAAACCACAGGAACGAAAATAAAAATTGTAATGTACTCTTTTTATAATTACTTATAATTTGTTTTTTTAATAAATTATCTATAAAGAGTGTGTGTGCTAACAGTCATCAAGTACTCAGAAGGCTAAATGCCAGCAATATTAACGGAAATGACGATCGACTCCAACGTGTGTGCCCATTGATCGAAACTAGAAGGAAAGGATTGTTTTAGGTTGCTATGTTTTTGCATCGACATGATCTTTTCTTGTCAACGTACGTGTTTTGAATGAATTCTTGTTGTCGGCTTTTGATATAGCCTGGTCCGGATTCCATTGGAATCGTTGCTATTTCTCATGGTTGCACTGGCGTGGCCGCACGAGCATGTGGCCTGGTCGCTCTCGAGCCTACAAGGGTGAGTGATATCATCTCCTATTTATAGTCCAACGGATTCTTTTTCCTCAACCGGTGTGACAGTTTCAAAATTTCCTACTTTTGCACAAATCTTTTTGTCCCAGGTTGCGGAAATCCTGAAGGATCGCCCCTCGTGGTTTCGTGACTGCCGAGCTGTTGAAATCCTCAATCTGCTACCGACCACCAATGGTGGAACCATCGAGCTTTTATACATGCAGGTAAATTCTTAATATTACGTTTTTCGACAATTAACACACTTTTTGGCTTCGGGTGAGATGTAATTAAACGATATTTAAATTGTTGTTCTAGCTTTACGCCCCCACAACTTTGGCTACGGCTCGTGACTTCTTGTTGTTGCGCTATACCTCCGTTACCGAAGATGGAAGTTTAGTGGTGCGTAATCCTTGTAACTTATGTCTTTTTATAAAATATATATTCCCTCCGTTCCAAAATAAGTGTCTGTATTACTATTTTAGTTTGTCCCAAAATAAGTGTCCACTTTCGAAAGTAGATGTCTGCTTTCCGATTTTACCCTTGATTATGAGGTGGAGAAAATTTCTCACTCTACAGTTAAGGGTAAAATTGCAATTTCTAAACCACAAGGATGATGGTAATACTTTCAAAGATAGGAATTAATTCAGGGACGAAAGTAGCAATAAATTGCAAATTATAGGGATGAAAATCGCAATTTATAAACCACAAGGATGAAAATTGAAATTATTAATAAACCACTAGGACGGAAATCGTAATTTACCCGTATATATATATATATATAATATTTAAATATGGCAGATACACACATTGCTTATGTTTGGTGAGGTTTGAACACTTCACCTTCTGGGAGGCTGGGCTCTACCGGTAACCACTGACCCGTGTACTACTGGGCCAATGGCCCTTTGGTTACTTTTGCCTTTTCATGGAAACAACTGCTCTACTCTTTGGGGTGGAGATCGAGTCTGTGTACACCTCACCAACCGATCCACATTCGGGTGGATATACTGGGCTTGTTTGGTCTCGTAGCCGCATGCCGAGCACTTACATTCTCGTTATCGAATTTTATGCATAGGTTTGTGAACGATCGCTAAACAATACGCACAATGGTCCGAGCATACCATCAGTCCCAAACTTCGTGCGAGCCGAGATGTTGCCTAGTGGGTGCTTGATTCGACCCTGTGAAGGAGGCGGTTCGATTATTCACATTGTGGATCATATGAATTTAGAGGTAATTGCGTTTATATTACCCCGACTGTCCCAAAATAAATGTCCAAGTTTCTATTTTTATTTATCCCAAAAAGTGTCCAATCAAAAGTAGCCTACTTTTCAATTTTCTTCTTAATTATGAGACTGAGAAGTTCATTACTCTCTTTATTATTAAGGGTAAAATTGTCATTTAGTTGATTAAAAAGTGTAATAACTGCACATTTCTAAAGCTGTGTGGCTATTTCCCATTCTACCCTTAATTATGAGAGGAAGAAATTCATTACTCTCTTCACTATCAAGAGTAAAATAGTCATTTAGTTAATTAAAAAAATGTAATAACTACACATTTCTCAAACTGTGTGCCTATTTTCCCATTCTACTCATAATTATGAGATGAAGAAATTAGTTACTCTCTTTACTAATAAGGGTAAAATAGTCATTTAGTTCATTAAGAAGTGTAATACCATACATTTCTAAAACTACGTTCCGTCTTTCCTGTTCTGCCCTTGATTATGAGATGGAGAAATTCGTTACTCTATTTACTATTAAGAGTAAAATAGTCATTTAGTTAATTAAAAAGTGTAATAACAACATTTTTTTGAAAATTGTGTGCCGTTTTTCCCATTCTACCATTGATTATGAGATGAAGAAATTCGTTACTCTCTTCACTATATTAAGGGTAAAATTGTCATATAGTTAACTAAAAGTGTAATAACTACACATCTATAAAATTGTGTGCCGTTTTTCCCATTCTACCCTTGATTATGAGATGAAGAAATTCGTTACTCTCTTCACCATCAAGGGTAAACTTGTCATTTAGGTAAACTAAAAAGTGTAATAATTACACAAATCTAAAATTGTCCGCCTTTTTCATTGTGGACATTTATGTTGGGACGAAAGGAGTATCGTCTTCCGGCTTCGTATTCTAAATCTTTATAATCATTTCATTGGGTAGGCGTGGAGCGTGCCTGAAGTCTTGCGCCCGTTATACGAGTCGCCAATCGTGCTTGCTCAGAAAATGACGATGATGGTAATACTTTCAAAGATCGTAATAGAACTTCGCATATAATGGGACTAGAAAGTTCAAATTTTGGGTACTTTTATAGGCGTTACGCCAGCTGAGGCAGATAGCTCTCGAAGTTTCACAATCCGGATCCCCAAATTGGGGCCGAAGACCTGCAGCGTTACGAGCGCTTAGCCAGCGGTTGAGCCGGGGGTTCAACGAGGCTCTTAATGGGTTCACCGATGAGGGATGGTCTTTGATGGCTAATGATGGGGTGGATGATGTTACGATTCTCGTAAACTCTTCTCCGGAAAAACTCATGGGATTTAATCCGCCTTTTGCAAACGGATATCAAACGGTTAGCAATTCCGTCTTGTGTGCAAAAGCCTCGATGCTTTTACAGGTCGGTCTCCGATGAATTTTTCCGTCACCATTTTCGATTTGGTTATGCAGGCCGTTGTTGTATTGTTGATGGTATATTTTCTATGCGTTTTCCGTAATTTTGCAGAACGTCCCTCCGGCCCTTCTACTTCGGTTTCTGAGGGAGCACCGGTCGGAATGGGCAGACAACAGTATCGATGCTTATTCGGCTGCAGCGGTTAAACTTGGTCCTTGCAGCCTACCAGGGTCTCGAGTCGGTAATTTCGGGGGTCAAGTGATTCTTCCACTGGCTCACACTATTGAGCATGAAGAGGCAAGTTGAGATCACGATTCACGACTGATTTCCTTGTTTCAGTCCCGTTTTTACACTTTTCTTTTTATGTTTCCGAAACAGCTGCTCTACTCTTTGGGTGCGTTTGGTATCCAGACAAGATAGGACAAGATTAGAACAACTGTTCAACGTTTGGTAAGACAGAAGTGGACATGATAGAACAGATAAAAGGACCAATTTACCCCTAATGAGTTGTTTATATATTTTAATTAATTATGTAATTTATTAAGTTGTAACAAAATGACAAATTTACCCCTAGAAAGTTTTCATCAAGACGATGAAAATAACACCAAAATAAAAAGTTATTGTAGTTTCCAATTTTTGTTTTATACTTTTTCTATATTATTTTTTTGTTATTAATATTTAATAAATTATATAAATTAATCACAATATAGAACTGTATAAAAATAATATTTTAAGGCCAGTAAAGTGAAAGTTTAAAGAGCATAAAATACAATAAATAAAATATAAAGAATGAAAAAAATGTAAAAAGAGGCGTATTTGATGTTTTAGAATAGAATTAGGTTTTATTTTGAGTTATATTGGTAAAATATAGTTTTTTTTTTCACCTGTTTCATTTTGTTCGTGTTTGTTCCACATAGAAGTCCTGCCAAATATAGAAGAATGATCCATGGTTCTATCCTGTCCAGTGTACCATACACACTTTTTGAGAATATAGAGGTCAGGTTTGCCTACATCCCACCCCCAGACCCCACTTTCGGGTGAGATATATTGGGCTCCTTTAGTTTCGCTTACGAGCCTTTTTTGATCGTAAATCTTGGTTTGTGATGTAGTTGTTGGAGGTTATTAAGATGGAGGGCGTCGGGCATTGCCCTGAAGACGGATTAATGCCGAGAGACATGTTTCTCCTTCAAGTATGTGTTTTTTCTCTTCGTAAAATTGCCACATCAGCAATCTATAAATTCTTGGCGGAATTACTCTTTTTATTAGCTTTGCAATGGAATGGACGAGAATGCCGTCGGCATGTGTGCGGAACTCATATTTGCTCCCATCGATGCTTCTTTTGCCGATGATGCGCCTCTTTTGGCTTCCGGTTTTCGTATCATTCCTCTCGACCCAATCAAGGTTAGGATCGACGTTACCACATTTATGCTTTTTTCGTTTTTATTTCTACATTTTTAGAAGCTTTATCTGAGCAAAAGATTGATTATGCACAACCCCGAACGGTCCCACACGGAATCCGCCGTTGAGGAACCACATGTGAGGAGGCATTTCAGAGCTGACACAGTGCCTGAGGCTAGCCGAGGGGTTCAACTCCATCTCTCGCATGATTCGAACTTGAACCTGTAGTGCATTCGAGCAAAGTCGCCCCCGCCCCCACCCGTTTGCCAACTGAGCTACACTTTTTTTTAGAAACTTTATTATTTTCTTTTCACACACTGTGCACACGGTGGGAGTCTTCACGGAAACAACCGCTCTACTTTTCGGGGCAGAGGTTAGGTCTGCATACCTTACTTCCGGTGACATTCACGGGGTTTGTTTGGTTTGCTTTACATTATACGCCGATTGCATGAAAATAAAAGCCGATTGCGTTAATATGCAGGAGGCTTCAAGTCCCAATCGCACCCTCGATCTTGCTTCTGCTCTTGAAATCGGAGGGTCCGGGACTAAGATTTCCAGCGACCGCAATGCTGCTAGTGGCACTGTTCGTTCCGTGATGACAATTGCATTTGAATTTGCGTTCGAGAGCCATATGCAAGAAAGCGTAGCCTCAATTGCCCGCCAATATGTTCGTAGCATTATATCGTCGGTTCAGAGGGTGGCGTCCGCACTATCTCCGAACATGAACCCGAATCTCGGGCTTCAGGCACCACTAGGCACCCCCGAAGCCCATATTCTCGCTCGTTGGATTTGCCGTAGCTACAGGTTCGTTGCCGAAAAATCTCGCCATTTCCATTTCCCTTCTCTTTTACATATTTTAATGTCGGGTTCTCTCTTTATTTTTTTCTCGCAGTTGCTATTTGGGAACGGAACTGCTTAAATCCGAGGGAGAAGGAAGCGAATACATCCTGAAATCGCTATGGCACCATTCCGATGCAATCATGTGCTGCTCCCTTAAGGTTTGGTTTTCTATATGAAACCGTTCTGAAAAGGGCAAAATTGGCAAAATGCAAAAAAATGTAACGAGGTTTAGTTTAGTTCTTATATGGTGTAACAAAGAATATCGAGTAAATTACGTTTTTGTCCGTGTGGCTTGTTAAAATTTGCCCTTTTTGTCCCTGTGGTTTAGAAATTGCGGTTTTCGTTTCTATGGTTTAGGATTCTTTACTGTTTTGGTCCCTCCTACTTAAAAGTAGGAATTAGTTTAGGGACGAAAATAACAATAAATTGCAAACCATAGGGACAATTCGCAATTTTTAAACCACTGGGACGGAAATCGTAACTTACTTGAGAATCTTTTTTCTCATTTCAAGATTTATTATTTAATGTAAAGAAATTTCAAAGTTTTTTATTTTTAACCCATGTTGACCGGTGACCTGCTGATCTTGTAACATTTGATGACGTGGATGCGAAGTTTAGCGTCCATTTCGCCATAACCCTTTCATAAACCATTAAAAACGGGTATCCATATCATCAAATGTTATAAGATCAACAGGTTACTGGTCAAAATGGTACAAAATAAGAAATTTGAAAGCTTGGCTACGTCTTCGTTACACTAAATAGGAACTAATAGGGGTTTCCAAAAAACTTCGGACCGATCAAAACCAAGTCAAAACCGGACTGTTTTTGGCGGTTTGAGCAGTCTGATGATTCGGTTTGGTCTGACAAATAGACAAACCGCTCGGTCTGGTCTGAGGTTTGAATGGTTTTTTGAGCGGTTTGGATTGAATCGATCGCCAAAATACACATGTATTAAACTTTGTTGCATTTTGATGCATTTTGCCGTTCAGGAAATGAAATCTCGAGCCCTTCATTCTCATTAGAATTCTCTTCTTGCAGGCGTCGCCCGTATTCACGTTTGCAAACCAAGCTGGGTTAGACATGCTCGAGACGACACTGGTCGCACTTCAAGACATTAGTTTGGAGAAAATCCTCGACGAGCATGGACGGAAAGGTCTTTCCGCGGAGTTTGCGCAAATCATGCAACAGGTTTGCCAAACGTTTTCTCGAGTTATTTGCATATCTTAGGCGTCGGGTGATATAAAATGTGGCTTATTCAGTAAGGTTCTAAGATGAAGCTTTATGCAGAAACCCAAGTTTTTCTCAAACCTGCCCATCCGATTAAAAAAACACGCTCCTTCCATCTATGAAAAAACCTTACCAAACAAAAAACCTTCCAAATCTATACAGACAGATTAACACACGGACAATTTTAACCCATACGACTTAATGGAAAACCAGTCAAGCAACCCCTTACGTTTATTAAGATCAATTAATTGTTTCGTCCTATAAAACAGTTTATTAGGATATTTTGACATTTTGGCATCTGTACAACCGATTTTGTTGTAGTCTTTTGTATTATTTTTGTTTCATTACAACAAAATTGGGTTTATAGGATGCCAAAAAATGTCAAAGTATCCTATTAGATTGTTTGTTAGCAACCATACATGACTGTTTGGTAGTGGCTTAATAATATATAGAAAGTGGCTTATTCAACAAGCTTGTTTTAGGTGACAGTAGAAAGATGACAATTTTGCGTTTGATGTCAGGGGTTCGCGTGTCTTCAAGGGGGCGTGTGTTCATCGAGCATGGGGAGACCGGTTTCGTACGAGAGAGCCGTGGCGTGGAAAGTCTTGAACGAAGAAGAAAACGCTCATTGTGTGTGCTTTACGTTCATCAATTGGTCGTTTGTTTAACGGACCCGTATGTATTTCATATTTGAAGACTATTTATGTTGACAACATTTTGATGGGTCCTTGTGGTTTGAAATGTCGTCAAGGTAGCTATTCGTATTTATTATGTATTACGTTGAACGGGATTTCGTACGCTATTAATTCAGGTTTTATATAATTCTCGTGTGTGAAACCGATTGCGTTAGTTGAAATCGGAACCCATTGATCTGGGTGTGGAGTTGGCTCGTGAAATATGTTCATACTAACGTAATATGTTATCTATTGATGTACAAAATATAACGCTTTTGAGTGTTTTAATATCGAAATTTATTTCTGGAATTTCCTAGTGTTTTTCTTATTGAAATTTATACTTACACAACCACTATTTGAGAAAATGTCTTAAGGCTGTTTGTTTACCTTTTAATAGTTTCATTAAAAGACAGTTTGTAAATCGTTAAGAGGTGAATCTTGTTTGGCAAAAAAAGTCTGTATTCATAAAGGTTCTAAAACCCTCTGAATGATTTGTATCTTGGGTCTTCCTTAAACATTCAGTGTCCTAATGGTTCTCATTCCTTGTCATTTTAATGGTTCTCATTTCTTGTCATTTTAATGGTTCTGATTTCTTGTCATTTTTATTCCCATTTTCAAATCAACCCTTGAATTACATTCTAAAAGAAAATTGATCTGATGTATCTCATTAACTTGATCTAGTATTTCTCTTCAATTAAGATTGATTCAAGGATAAAGATTCTAGTGACGGACCCAATTCGGTGCCACCATATTATCCCACCATCAAAAGGTAAAAACAAAAATTAAGTTTGTTAAAGGTGCAACCGTATCAATATGTTCTGTGCCACCATAAATATTTTGAAACTACAATAAGGACACAAGTTTCATTGGTAGAGTTGGTTTGCAAGCTTTTCTTCCATCCCACCAAGTTTGAATCTCATTGGTATCATTTTCTTTGTTTTTAGCTTTTAATTTCCGATTTCTTATTTTTTTGATTCTTTGTTTTTTCAAATAAAAGACTTGAGCAGAAGACCTCACATTTGAAAAACAATGAACTAACTAACATACCAATTATAATTACGTGAAAAATATCCCGATGTTTGTTTCTTATAGTCAAATAGTACCATCATTTGAGAAAAATTCTGCATTTGTCCCTGAAAGATCTCTTCTCAACATAACTTTTATTCTCAATTAATTCCAACCCATCATGGGGAATAAAATGTGAATGAATTTTCATTCTCTTAGTTTAACCTGGAATGAAAATTTATGCTTCTAGAGAAATGAGCCCATTATATTATGTAATACCAGATAGTTTCTTTTATCTTCATTCTCATTGATTACTGGTTAGTACCATAACTTAGGGACTGTTTACTTGCAGCTTATAAAGCTTATTGGTCTATCTAACTTATTCACACAACTCATTTGGGTTGTTTACTTACGACTTATTCGCACAGAACATGACTTAATCGTACAGATAGAAATGGTGTGTTGTCCCCATTCAGCGACAAAAATGACACCCCTACCTCTTATTTAAAGCATCGCCTCCTCCCCAAATGAAACACCCCATCGTCAACCTCTTTATGATTTTTTGTTTTGATATTCAAATAATTAATATTGGAGGGTAAATCGGTCATTTATGTTATTCCGACTGTTGGTTCAGATGAAAAAAAAGTAAACAACAACATTCATTTATCCATATAGACAAATTTATTCGGACAGACAAATTTATCCATATAAAACTTGATAAAAAATTGGCTAAACAATGTGCTCCCCTAAAATCATTGCGGAAACCACCCATTTTCCCTCAAGTTGCTGCCTTTAAATATCCCTCCACCATCTCCTCCTTTTATCTGCAATTAACTCTCTCTCTCTCTCTCTCTCTCTCTCTCTTCAAGATTGAGATCAAAACCCTAAAAATGGAACAGAATTTACCAGTAATCGCCAAGAAAGTATGGAGCTTGATGCGAGTCATGTTGTTGATGTTAAAAAAGGGAATTTCCAAAACTAAATTCTTAGCTGATCTCAACATGATGATGAAACGTGGTAAGATCGCCGGAAAAGCCTTACACAACCTTTTGTTCCACCACCACCATAACTGGGCTGCTTCCACCTTCCACCGCCATCACCACCACCAGCACCACCTCTCCTTCCCTGCACCATCCTCCAGCGATTCCGAGTTCAGTTGCACCACCTCCCCACCTCCATCACTCTCCCCTTTTTCCACCCACGAAAAAAACCACCGCTCGACCACCCAGAACCCACCTCCGCCAACGGCGGATGACGGCATTGATGAGATGATCACTGATACGGCGGTTATGAAGATGCTGACAAGCGCCGCCGCATCTCCGCCGGCTCTGTTTGGGAGGAGTTTGTTTGTGAAGCAACTGAGGATAACAGACTCTCCGTTTCCGGTGGGCGACGGTGGAGAAGATAGTCAGGTGGATGAAGCGGCGGAGATGTTTATAATGAGGTTTTATAACGATTTGAGACGGCAAAATTAAATGAGGGTGTAAAATGTCATTAGCTAGTTCTTTGAGGGGGTGATACGTGATTATTTCAAAGTTGTTGTTCTTCCATGCATGCCCTACATATATATTTGTATTACAATACATGTCGATTTTAATATATCATTTTATTCTGTCTTCATCAATGTTATAATACAATTTTATGTGGTACTGAAACAACGATAATGTTTTTATGTTTTGAATAAAATATAAATTGAAGGTATCATAAAATTTTAAAAAAATATATCGATTTTAGTATCAAATTAAATATTTAAAAGTGCTTGTTTTTTTTGTATAATATCTTTAATTTAATTTTTTTTATTATAATTCAATTTAATATTTTGTTAGAATTCAATAAGTATCCTAAATATATTTTAGATTTATTATATTTAAAATGAGATATCTATCAAATATTTGATTATGTTTATATGTTTTAGTTACATGAATTTAAACATGGAGTTTTAATAAGTTGTATATATACATAATTTACTTATAATCTTAAATTTTAAGTAATATGTATCAATAAACAGTACTATATTAATCTATAATATAATATAGATTAATTTTTAATGTATTAATTTTTAATAAATAAAGTGAACAAACATTTGAACGGCTACTTTTTATTATATTAACAAAATCAATTAATGTGTCCCAAAGCGTCATCGTTTTCACCTTAAACAATTTGTATGCGATTGCTTATTTGCTTTTTATTTTTGAGTAAATTACTTTTTTGTCCCTATGATTTGTTAAAAGTTATGATTTTCATCCATATAGTTTATAAATTGCAGTTTTTGTCCCTCTAGTTTGTAATTTATTACTATTTTTGTTCTTATGATTCATAATTTGTCGTTGTTTCAAGTCCCTACAGTTTACAATCGTTTATTGTTTTAATCCCTTGTACTTAACGAAAACAATTAGTCCATGAACAAAAATAATAATAATTTACAAATTATAAGGACGAAAATTGTAATTTATAAACCTAAGGGACGAAAATTGATATCATTAACAAACCCCAGGGTCGAAAAATCATAATTTACTCTTATTTTTTAATCATCCCATCACACCTCCAAGTCAAGTTTGGGATGTCTAGGTTAAGTCCTTGATTTCAGTTCGATTTGGATCTTTTCTCTTTAATATATTTTGAAATTCGTATTTTTTTACAGATGTTTTTTAATAAAATAACTGTATGATGTCCCACGTAATTACATGAATTAGTATTGTTGGTTTTATAAATCCGAGTCAATAAAGGATGAAAAAGACGTCTTAAAACCCAATTTAATTAATTTTAGTGTTATATTATTAATCTGTTTAGGTACTGGTGCATCGTGTAACGATGTATATCAGTATTATGTATCATACGGTTCATGAATTCATTGACCAAAATAAAGAAAAAGCAAAACAAAGGTAGCAAACTTTCGAAAAAGTGAAGAATCTATAATCAATCTGTACTGAATTGACATAATTAACCTTTTTGTTTTCGACAAATGATGTCATTAAACCTTTTCTATCAAACCCTAATCAAATCCCGCCAAAAGAAAACCAGTTGGTATTAACGTAATCAAAGAAACAAACCCATTTTGTAACGATTACTAAATGCGCTAATAGTTGTGCAGCTGCAACCAGCTACGTTAATGCATCTTTCGATCAACATTCATGCATCTTTCTTGATCAAATCCTAAATCAAAACCCTAGCTACAGCAAGTTACTTTAATTTTGTCCATTAGCGTTAATTTAAAATCGAGGCCATAAATTTGGCTTGGAAGTCATGAGCGGAAGGACTTTCCGTTTTAGCAATAAAATAGGCTTTATAGAACGTTAAAACTAAAGGGCTGTTTACCAAACGTTTACCCGGATAAGTGCTTACCAAGTAACATTACCTCACCGAATAAATATGGTAAGGACCGAGAATCTTACCCGGTAAGAGCGAAACAAGGACCAAGAGATTTACCCGGTAAGTGAGGGCGACGACTCTTACCACGGTAAGCGCTTACCGGGTAAATTGTTGCATACAATGTTGTTTTGGTGGACTAAAGTCTTACTCCCTAAGTAAATAATAGTGTTAAATTTTACCGCTAAGCACTTACCAGGTACGTGTTTAGTAAACGACCCCTAAATGTCGTAACAAACTATTATATATATAGAACTTAGGCTTATAAGATCAAATAATTGTACGTCATATGTAAATGTGTTATGATAAGTTGATATGACTTGTTTTAGGGGGGATTCCTAACAAGTTTTTAGAACAGTAAACGATATTTTTGGTTTAATAATATAATTTTTTTATAAAGATAATAATTAAATATTTTGTTAGAAGTAAATAATTATTCTAATTATATTTTAAATTTTTTATATTTAAAAATAAGATATTTATCCTCTATTTGATTATGTTTACCTGCAGTTAGTTATACACAAATTCAAACATGAAACTTTAATAAGTTGTACTTACGCATAATTTACTTGTAATTTTGAGTTTTAAGTAATATACATCGATAAACAGTACTTCATGCATAAAAAATGATTTTTAAAAGTATTTGTCAAATGCTTTATAATATAGTATAGATAAAGACGTAAAATTTTTCATGTAAATATGGTTTTTTAGAGAAAAAGGAGTTCCGAAATTATATATTTGAGAAGAAAATAAAAGTAGAAAAAAGTGTAGGGGTTAAAAGTAACTAAATTAATCTTGAGGGGGAAAAACTATAAATTAATTGGGTGGGTACGAGAAATTTCTTCCACCAAAATGACCAAAAGATGTACACAAAACCTCTTTGCTGAGTAAAGTATGGACCCACCAATATGAGACCAAATTTGACCAACATTGTCACCATTAACAAATACTTATTTGAAAAAGGGTTAAAAGTAGTTTTTTTTAACTTTTCTCTTAGTTACCCCAGTAAATTTATATAACGGACCCCACAATCCTAGCCGACTATCGCCGACTTCAAAAAAGTCTATTGAAATCAATCAAAAAAACCGATAAAGTCTTTCAAAATCAACAAAAACACTAAAAACTCTCATCGAAATCAATCAAAAAACTTTAAAAATCCCTCAAAACGTTGTAATTAGGTTGAAAACACGTCAGACGACTTTGCGGACCTTTAGTCTACTTTAAAAGTGACCTCACTATATGGGCAAAAATCTTGGATCCGCCACTGAACGCATAGTCGTTTTCATACGTTCTACTAAACATATATTGGAAATAACAAACGTTTATAATGTGTTATTATACCTATTCTTGAAAAATGAAGTTACGATTTCTAAATGGAAATACAATAAAGTAGAAAGCATTCCACATTTAATTATAAGCTTGTTTTCAACGTTGATGATTCAATCACCAACTTTAATGGCGACTGAACGAACGTTGCCTTGTGATTTGCGAAGTGGGTTTCCTTCTCTTTATCATTGCTTTAAATACCATCTCATATCCCCCCTCTTTAACTGCAAACAGCAAGCTCTTCTCTCTCTCTCTCTAGATCTCTCTTTCTCTCTCATCGCATTCATCAAAACCCTAAAGAAAATGGAATCAAGATTACCATTAATGGCGAAGAAAGTATGGAGTTTGGTGAGGGTTATGTTCTTCATGTTGAAGAAGGGAATTGCCAAAAGGAAATTCCTTCTTGATCTTAACATGATGATGAAGCGTGGCAAGATCGCCGGCAAGGCGTTACACAACCTTATGTTCCATCACCACCACAATTGGGCGGCTTCCGCCTTTGACCACCRCCACCCRCAACACCTCTCCTTCACYGCWCCACYACCAGGMGAATACGAATTCAGCTGCAGCAACACCCCACCTTACCCACTCTCTCTCTTTTCCACCCGGCTTCCGCCTTTGACCACCGCCACCCGCAACACCTCTCCTTCACYGCTCCACCACCAGGCGAATACGAATTCAGCTGCAGCAACACCCCACCTTACCCGCTCTCTCTCTTTTCCACCCACAAGAAACGCCAAAACAAATCTCGCGGCCTTGCAACTACTAACCCTCCGATGGCGGCGGTGGGCTATTGTGATGATGTAATTACCAATGCTGAACTTTTGAAGGCGCTTGATATCATGATCACAAGCTCCATGGCGTCGCCACCACTACCCGCCGGATCTAGGACCATGCCGATGGTTGAGCCATTGAGGATAAAAGACTCACCCTTGGCTTTAATTCATGGCGAAGAAGATGGGCAGGTGGACGAGGCTGCTGAGAGGTTCATAAGGAGGTTCTATAATGATCGAATACGTGAAAATTGAGTGAGGGACTAAAATGTCATTAGCTAATAGATGAGGGGGTTACATGAAACTATACTTTTGATCCCTAGCTTCTCTGGTGCTTCAAGCTTGTAGGTTTTGTGATTTGTGTAACCCTTATAAGAGTTTTGGTATCTTTTTAGATTATTCTAATGAAAATAAATATCAAAGTATTTCTAACATTCAATTTTTCTGGAAATCTTTTGGATATTCAACCCGTTATATGAGTCGACTAGTCTCAGGACGATCACCGCATTTGAAACCTCCGTGGTCAAAAAAGGAGGTTTATTTTTCTTTGTATTTGAACCTGGGACCTCGAGACACTTTTGACCTTTGAAGTCCAAGCTCAAACCAAAAAGACACCACCTTGTGGTTGTAGAACGCTTTTGTATGTCTTCGTAAAGACAACTCTTGTAGAATTGAATGAGAGAGTTTCATAGATATATATACACATGTTTGAAGGTCCCTTGTGTAGCTACTCAGAGGGGAGGCTAGACAATGCCCCCTAGAACGGAGGTGAAAGTGCGTGTCAAGTTCCTAGTGGTAGACCACAACAACCATGTTATAATTCGTGGAACCCGTTTGAATTAAAGTAAAGAGTTTACCGAGAGAGGGTAAGTTCTTACAGATATACATGTTTGATGATTTATGTCGGGCTGAATTAATATCCAACACCAACAAATGAGTGATTGAAGAACCTATTGCCTTCTTTGTGAAGTATATATGCTTTGTAATTACTTAGCTACACCTCTATTTTAGAAGTTAGTTTTAGAACCTTAAAAACAACGAACAACACTAAATGGAAACCGTGTTTCGGCAAACTATGTTTATAGAGGATTATTTAGAGAAGAGTCTTGATCATATCGAAACGAAATCACTTATAACGAGTACATTTTTTAATGGAAGAACACAGATGATTCTTTTTGAACGGCAAGAAACGAAATTAATTAAACTGAAACCGAGCAAGACACTAGATTAACACGATGTCCGAAAAACATAAACGAGGATTACAACATCAGATTTCCCAACTTCACCCTATTTCTAACCCACAAAAAAGAGTAGAATTGGATGTCGTTAACAGCTTCCCTGAATCTTTCCATTGAAGATTTTATCGTTCCGACTCCTCCATATCACCCAACAGGCCACAATACATATCACATACAGCAGCAGTTTTGACCATTTCTCACCGACCGGGTTTAAAAATCAGCTCCGTAACCTTCTTAATTAAACGAACTGGGAGATGCAGGAATCTCGAACTACCAATGCTGCACAACTCTTTTTTGCTGAAGAACACTCGGACATTAGATGTAGTTCGGTTTCTTCACCAATGTTACATCTGGGGCAGAGGGTAGAGGAGACTTCGATTTCGATTCCCCTACAAGACAGGTTGCTACGGGTAGGGAGTTTTCCCACCCTTGCTCGCAGAACAGGAGATTAGTTTTCCCAAGAGCAGCTTTTATCCATAAGGGCTTTGTTTGAGCTTGGGCTAGGAAACTGTTGTCAACCATTTTTCTTAACCCAACCATTGAAAAGATCCAACTAGCTTCCGTTGTCCAGCTCCAAACGTTCCTGTTACAAACAAAAAGATCACCGAAGTTGATGTTAAAGGAAGATAAGGTGGTGTTTAATTAGTTGGGTGATCACACCCCACGTGCTTGATTTGATGCCGGTCGGGATAGCAGCTCCGAGTCTACCATCTTGGCTGTGGATTGCACAAATCATCTCCTTCCACAAAGCCTCGTCTTCCCTTTTGAACCTCCACCACCATTTGCCTGGCCGTGGAAAAACACAAGTGATTTGATCATCAATTTGGATGAGTATTCTATGTTTTTTGAATACTCTTGAACATGCAAAAAGAAGAAGGGAGATTCATGAGGACAATTGTCTTAGCAAGAGTTTCTGAAATGATGGTCAATTAAAAAAACAACTTATAGCTCTAAAACTAACATTTAAAATAGACGGATTATGCTCGATATTTTCGGGCCTTCGGATCCAGTCTTTTGCAGACGGATTCTTTTTCCCTTGAACCCGACGTGGATCAGACGGGACAAGGACTGTTTTTGGGGGTTTAGCATGGAGCGTCGACAGAGATAGGGGTACATTCATCATCAATATCCCGCCTCGTTATCACTTGTATATCGAACACGCAATTATATATGATCATTATACCTATAAACTTAATTAGTTTTTCTTTCAATCACAATATCACTCTATTAAAGAGGACCATGGTGCATATAACTTAGTTGTAGTGGACATAGAAATAGAAGTTTTTCATTCTTCTTTAAGATACATGTTTATATATATATCTATATATATATAGTATCTTTTCCATTTCTAAGATAACAAATAATGCCATGTTTAACCACAATGGTGGGGTTTGATTGGTTTGAGCTTGGACTCTAAAGGTCAAAAGTGCCTGAAGGTCTCTGGTTCAAATCCAAGGAAGAATAAAAATCCCCTTGTGACCACAAAAGTTCAAATGCGGTGACTCTTAGTCGTCCTGAGATTAGTCGACTCACATAGATGGTTGGATATCCAGGTTAATAAAAAAAGAATGTTATGTTAAACTCGTACAAGTAATTTAGATTCTCATAAAAAGATCTAAAGATTTTAAGTTTGAATACTTTATCTAACTATGATATATCACGAGTCATATCCTCCTTTCTTTTCCTTTCTTTCGGTGAGTTGAAGGACCACCGCATTCACAAACCCTTACTATCACCACGAAAGTCGGTCTGAGAGAGAAAATACGTTGTAATAATCATCTTAGCATATAATTTTTGGTAAATTGGTTACAATCGATGTACTATATAACGAAAAGATTCTATCCCATTACTATACGCTCTTAGAAACTCTAAGCTACGTACACCTTACATGTTGCATTTTACAAAGAACGTGGTCATTCTCACATGCACGATATCAAAAACACTCAAAAGAACGTGTTTAACGTGTTATTAAAAAAGCTAGTAACATATTAAATCGAAAATGGAATCTAGTAAAGTAGAAAAGCATTGCATTGCATTGCATATTTAATTATAGCTTGTTTTCAAAGTTGATCAAAACACTTGTTGAGTGACCAACTTTAGTAGTGGTGAGTGAACCCTACCTTGTAAATTAAAATTTGTGGTGTGGTTCTTTCCTTCTTTATTTGCCACTTCTAGTTTACTACTTTAAATACCCATCTCTCTCTTCCCCCTTCTTTCACTGCAAATAGCAAGCTCTTTTCTCTCTCTCTCTCTCTCTCTCTCTCTCTCTCTCTCTCACATACACACACATTGCATTGATCAAAACCCTAAAGAAAATGGATTCAAGATTACCAGTGATGGCCAAGAAAGTGTGGAGTTTGGTGAGGGTTATGTTCTTCATGTTGAAGAAGGGAATTGCCAAAAGAAAATTCCTTCTTGATCTCAACATGATGATGAAGCGTGGCAAGATTGCAGGCAAGGCCTTACATAACCTTATGTTTCATCACCACCACAATTGGGCGGCTTCCGCCTTTGACCACCGCCACCCGCAACACCTCTCCTTCACTGCTCCACCACCAGGCGAATACGAATTCAGCTGCAGCAACACCCCACCTTACCCRCTCTCTCTCTTTTCCACCCACAAGAAACGCCAAAACAAGTCTCACCGCCTTGCGACTACTAACCCTCCGTTGGCCGTGGTGGACTATTGTGATGATGTAATTACCAATTCTGAACTTTTGAAGGCCCTTGATATCATGATCACAAGCTCCATGGCGTCACCACCTCTAGCCGCCGGGTCTAGGACCACGCCGATGGTTGAGCCATTGGGGATAAAAGACTCACCCTTGGCTTTAATTCATGGTGAAGAAGATGGTCAGGTGGACGAGGCTGCTGAGAGGTTCATAAGGAGGTTCTTCAATGATCGAATACGTGAAAATTGAGTGAGGGACTAAAATGTCGTTAGCTAATAGATGAGGGGGTTACATGAAACTATACTTTTGATCCCTAGCTTCTCGTGGTTCAAGCTTGTAGGTTTTGTGATTTGTGTAACCCATATAAGAATTTTGGTATCTTTTTAGATTATTCTAATGAAAATAAATTTCAATAATCGGTAATGAGAACCTATTAATATATCTCTTTCTTCTTTCTCGGTTAAATTACATGAAAAAGTAACGTAATTTAACTTGATTATTATTTTGGATAACGTAATTTTATAGCTTCCATTTTGGTACTTAAGATGTAAAATTTTAAAATTTAAGTACCCAGGTAACTAGTTGAAACATTAACCGGTTACCATGTTGATATGATGAGTGATGTGGTATCCAGTTAATGCTTCGGCAAATAATACTGAGTTGGATACCACATCAGCATAGTAACCGGTTAATGTTTCAACTGGTTACCGAGTACTTAAATGTTTAAATAACTTTATATACTAGATACCAAAATAGAAGTTTTGGAAGTACGCTACCCAAAATAGAAATCAAATTAAAGTACGTTATTTTATTTTCAAAGTATTTCTAACATTCAATTGTCTGGAAATCTTTTTAAGAGTTTATAATCAGATTTGTGAAAACGAACTCTTATAAAATGAGAAGAGTTTCATAAAAATATATACACATGTTTGATGGTCCCTTGTGTAGCTAATGCGAAACTCCAACATGCCATTTCAAGACTCAGAGGGGAGGCTAGACAATACCCCCTAGAACGGGACAATTGTCTTAGCAAGAGTTTCTGAAATGATGGTCGATTAAAAAAACCACTTATAGCTCTAAAACTAACATTTAAAATAGACGGATTATGCTCGATAATTTCGGGCCTTCGGATCCAGTCTTTTGCAGACGGATTCTTTTTCCCTTGAACCCGACGTGGATTAGACGGGCAAGGACTGTTTTTGGGGGTTTAGCATGGAGCGTCAACAGAGATAGGGGTACATTCATCATCAATATCCCGCCTTGTTATCACTTGTATATCGAACATGCAATTATATATGATCATTATACCTATAAACTTAATTAGTTGTTCTTTCAATCACAATATCACTCGATTAAAGAGGACCATGGTGCATATAACTTAGTTGTAGTGGACATATAAATAGAAGTTGTTTTTCATTCTTCTTTAAGATACATGTTTTTATATATGTAGTATCTTTTCCATTTCTAAGATAACAAATGATGTCATGTTTAACCATATTGGTGGTGTTTGATTGGTTTGAGCTTGGACTCTAAAGGTCAAAAGTGCCTGAAGGTCCCTGGTTCAAATCCAAGGAAGAATAAAAATCCCTTTGTGCCCACAAAAGTTCAAATGTGGTGACTCTTAGTCGCCCTGAGATTAGTCGACTTGCATAGATGGTTGGATATCCAGGTTAATAAAAAAAAGAATGTTATGTTAAACTCGTACAAGTAATTGAGATTCTCATAAAAAGATCTAAAGATTTTAAGTTTGAAAACTTTATTTAACTATGATATATCACGAGTCATATCCTCCTTTCTTTTCCTTTCTTTCGGTGAGTTGAAGGACCACCGCATTCACAAACCCTTACTACCACCACGTAAGTCGATAAGAGAGAAAATACGTTGTAATAATCATCTTAGCATGTAATTTTCGGTAAATTGGTTACAATCAATGTACTACATAACGAAAAGAATTACCATGTTTTCAAAGCGGTAAAAGATTCTATCCTATTACTATGTGCTCTTAGAAACTCTAAGCTACGTACACCTTACATGTTGCATTTTGCAAAGAACGTGGTCATTTTCACATGCACGATATCAAAAACACTCAAAAGAACGTGTTTAACGTGTTATTAAAAAAGCTAATTAAGTACATATTAAATCGAAATCGAAATCAAAATCTAGTAAAGTAGAAAAGCTAGCATTGCATATTTAATTATAGCTTGTTTTCAAAGGTGATCAAAACACTTGTTCAGTGGCCAACTTTAATGGTGGTGAGTGAACCCTACCTTGTAATTTGTGGTGTGGTTTCTTCCTTCTTTATTTGCCACTTCTAGTTTACTACTTTAAATACCCATCTCTCTCTTCCCCCTTCTTTCACTGCAAATAGCAATCTCTTCTCTCTCTAGATCTCTCTCTCTCTCTCACACACACACACACACACACATTGCATTGATCAAAACCCTAAAGAAAATGGAATCAAGATTACCAGTGATGGCCAAGAAAGTGTGGAGTTTGGTGAGGGTTATGTTCTTCATGTTGAAGAAGGGAATTGCCAAAAGAAAATTCCTTCTTGATCTCAACATGATGATGAAGCGTGGCAAGATTGCCGGCAAGGCATTACACAACCTTATGTTCCATCACCACCACAATTGGGCGGCTTCCACCCTCCACCGCCACTCACAACACCTCTCTTTCACCGCTCCAACACCAGGCGAATACGAATTCAGCTGCAGCGACACCCCACGTTACCCACTCTCTCTCTTTTCCACCCACAAGAAACGCCAAAACAAGTCTCACCACCTTGCGACTGATAACCCTCCGCTGGAGGCGGTGGGCTATTGTGATGATGTAATCACCAATTCTGAACTTTTGAAGGCCCTTGATATCATGATCACGAGCTCCATGGCGTCGCCACCACTACCGGGATCGACATTGAGGATAAAAGACTCACCGTTGGCGTTAAATCATGGTGAAGAAGATGGTCAGGTGGACGAGGCTGCTGAGAGGTTCATAAGGAGGTTCTATAATGATCGAATACGTGAATGTTGAGTGAGGGACTAAAATGTCATTAGTTGATAGATGAGGGGGTTACATGAAACTATACTTTTGATCCCTAGCTTCTCTGGTGTTTCAAGCTTGTAGGTTTTGTGATTTGTGTAACCCTAATTAAGAATTTTGGTGTGTTTTTATTTTATTTTCAAAGTATTTCTAATAATCGATTGTCTCGAAATTTTACTGATAATTCATAATTGGATTTAATCACAAATGATTGTATGCTCATTTATACATACACACATAGACTTGGGATCATGTGAAACTCGTGAGACCACTTTTTTTCACTTGAAAGTTCATAGCAAAACATTATTTTCGTGAGGCCACTATTTTACACTTGAAAGAAGGCTAGACGATGCCCCTACAACTTCGATACCATGTTAGCATACAACCAAAATATGAATTATCTTAAAAAAGTACATATTGCCTCTTTTGTAAAGTATGGTTTGTATTTTATCGAGATGTAAAGCTCGAATTCAAGACTCAAAGGTTATGAAAAAAATTCACAAACTCCATTTTTACGAGGCTAATTTGCATCAAAGGATCCAACAGTGTAAGAAAGAGAATCAGTTAGTTGGACTTCTATCTACTGATTAGTGTAATCATCAATCTTATTCATTAAGCTGTTTAAATGTTAACTTCAAAACCATAAAAACAACGAACTGTACTAAATCGAAATTGTGTTTGACAAACTATTTTTATAGACGATTATTTAGAGGAGTTTATTATAGTTGGACTGTTTGATGGGTCGGGAGATCTGTAATGTGTTCAGTTACTGTACAGTATTAATTTATTAATTTTGAATCACATGATTCACGATTCTTCAACGAAAACAAAATCGAACCAAACCAGAATCACACTTTTGAAAAAGAGAAAATAATGGAGTATTGATTTCAAAACACCCCTTTGCTTTCTACCAATATTGACAAAAACTTCATTTAGACTCCTTCCAAAAGAAACCCATTGATATTAACATCAGAAAACCCCATTTCAGCAACGATTACGAAATTCGACCTTGAACCATTGATACGTAAAAAAAATTCATTTTACAAAATCAAAACCGAAGACATGTATATTTTATCCCTAATATGCGAGTGTCGACGTCAGGGTGACAATATATTTACAGGGCCAGTATTTAATTTACAAATTATTAAATCATAATAATAAACTGTTCTTGGTTCAAAAGTGACGTTTTAACAATTTATGAAAATAAAGATCAGTAAAATTCAATATACCAAATCATAGATATCACACGATTTTGAATGATTAACCATGTTTGAAACATTCGACAGATATATAAACGTCACGTCTTAAGAATACAAGAGCAATGAAACAATATATTTGACCATAAAATAATAAAATGCAAAAATTGAGGGGGTTAAAAGTTATTACAAATTTCTCAAGGGGTGAAAAGAAAATTTAGGAGATCATTTTTCTTGGTTTCTGTGGGCGTGGGCGTGGGCGTGGGCGTGGGCGTGGGCGTGGGCGTGGGTGGGTGAATCAAGGTATGAACTTTCTTCCACCAAAAGCATATGCTCACAAACCTCCCTTGCTAAGTAAAGCAAGTCACCATAAATTTGGATATTTTTGGATATTCAACTTGTTATGCGAGCCGATAAATACTAGGATGACCACTTATTTTGTAGATGACCCGAAGTCATCGTATTTAAACCTCTGTGGCTATAAGGGGATTTTTATTCCTCCTTGGATTTGAATACGAGACCTCCTGGTACTTTTGACCTTTGGAGCAAAGCTCAAACCAATCAGTCACCACCCTTGTGGTTTATTTATTTTTGTTTTATAGTTCAAAAATAGATAACTAAATCTTTACGTTTATTTTTATTAAATGTGACGAAGGATCCTGTGAGATACAGAGTAAATGTGAGAAGTGTGAAAAGGGATTTGTACCCATGATTACCTTTAATCTCAAATTCATCCATGAATGACGTTTGATACGGTGCATCTCTAACTAATGTGCATTCAAGAGTGGAGATCTATTTTTACACTTCTCATTTTAACTCTCCTTAATTATCAGCGAAACCCAACTATAAAGAATGTGTACAGATATTTAAGGATAAAGTTATTATATATGAACCAACAAGTGTAATAATTATTTACGTCTAAAACCATCATTTCTATGTGATGCATGCTAATAAACACAACATCATGCATCACTATTAAAAAACAGACTTTTTTCAGCGAACAAATCCGTCGGAAATTGTGTTTTTGGATTCCAATTGCCATAAAAAGGCTCGCCGGAAACACAATTTCTTGCAGCCGTAGATTCGCCACTGACCTTTTTCCATTTTCCCGATTTTCTTGATTTTATTAATTTAGTTATTAAGATAATTTATCGGTGGATTTTCTGCCGGTAATTTAAATTATATTTTTTAAAATTCATATATTTAAAAAAAATTAAATTACTAGCAGAAAATCCGCCGAAAATTTAATTATTTTTCGATGAATTATTTTAAGAAAAATAAATTGACTGACGGATTTATCCGTCACTGATCTGTCGAAATATTGGACCATTTTTTTTTAAATTCTGAAATAAAAGCAAATAATATAATTTTGGAAGTGGGAATTTCTTGAAGATCGAGAGAAAGCAGCAACACACTACTCGAAAACAAAGTATCATGATAGAAACAAAAAATCCCTCGTTGAGGGAATTTTCTCTTCAACGACGAATCAATAGAAGACCCCTTTAGCAACGGATTAACGAGAGAATTTTCCGTCGTTGATACTCTTCATTTTTGTAGTGGCAATTTACAGCATTATTCCATCCATGTTTGTTTGGTCTTGGAATGTTTCTCAATTTCGTTATATAGTACATTAAATAGGGAGGAGGAGGATGCGGTCTGCATTCCTCGCTTATCTCATGCATCGTTTACTCCATCTCTATATAAGACGAACAATTGTGGTAACTATAAACTTAAGAGCCATTCACTACAACAAAATTGGGTTTATAGGACGTTCTCAATCTCTAAGCGTCTCAATAAACCGTTTTATAGGACTTAATTTATAGAACTAAAATATAAAACGTCATATCTAAAAACATTGTAACAAGTTTATATGATGCTTTTGGACGTCTTTACAAATTTTTATGACATTTTTAATATAAAGCGTCACATTAGCAACTTTATAGAAGATGTCTTATAAACTCAATTTTTTACAGGACACTTGTTTTTATATGATTGTTTTTCAAATAGTGTCATATAAAGTTGCTAATGGAACACTTTATATTAAAAGTACGTGTGCTAAAACACTTATTACGACGTAAAAAAACGTAATATAAACTTATTATAACGCCTTTAGATATGACACTTTATTTTTTGGTCCTATTAGGACGCTTAAAAATTGGGAGCATCCTATAAACCCAATTTTGTTGTAGTGAGCTATATTAAGCACTATATTAACCACCACCTCGGTAGTCCTATAACAAACCCATTTTCAAGTAAGATAGTGTCATTTTTCATTTCTAAAACATCAAACAGTTTCTTATGTTCTATTGAACTTGTACAAATACGATCCAAATTCTCATGAAAAAATCAAAAGATTTTGATTACGAAACGTTCTTTGGGTACCCTCCGTTTTTTCTCCTTCTGGTACGCACGGTAAGGACAAAAGGTCAGAGGATCGGCAAATTCACAAATCATAAAAGTGGAGAATTACCATATATATATATATATATATATATATATAAACAAAAGCCGCAAAAGATACTGACTTTACGGTTTTAAAAACTGTAAGCTACATGTATCTTATATATATATAGTAGACTTACGTTAAGGGTTTTGCAAAGAATGTAACTGTACCATATCGTTCACGATACATTGTACCATAACACGACGTGAACGTATTTAAAATGACAACACCTAATTGCATATATTATTAAAGTATACTAATAAAGGTATAATAACGTAGAAAAGCATTGCCCATTTAATTATAGCTTGTTTCCAACGTTCTCAAAACTTTCCCAATGACCAACTTTTTTGCCACTTTAAATACCCATGCCATCTTCCACAACCACAACCACAACCACAACTCTCAAGCTTTCTCTCTCTAGATCTCTCTTTCTCTCTCATCGCATTCATCAAAACCCTAAAGAAAATGGAGTCAAGATTACCAGTAATGGCGAAGAAAGTATGGAGTTTGGTGAGGGTTATGTTCTTCATGTTGAAGAAGGGAATTGCCAAAAGGAAATTCCTTCTTGATCTTGACATGATGATGAAGCGTGGCAAGATCGCCGGCAAGGCATTCCACAACCTTATGTTCCATCACCACCACAATTGGGCGGCTTCCGCCTTTGACCACCACCACCCACAACACCTCTCCTTCACCGCACCACTACCAGGAGAATACGAATTCAGCTGCAGCAACACCCCACCTTACCCACTCTCTCTCTTTTCCACCCACAAGAAACGCCAAAACAAGTCTCACCGCCTTGCGACTACTAACCCTCCGCTGGCGCCAGCGGATGATTGTGTTGATATAATTACCAATTCTGAACTTTTGAAGGCGCTTGATATCATGATCGCAAGCTCCATGGCGTCGCCACCACTACCCGCCCGATCTAGGACCACACCGATGGTTGAGCCATTGAGCATAAAAGACTCACCCTTGGCTTTAATTCATGGTGAAGAAGATGGTCAGGTGGACGAGGCTGCTGAGAGGTTCATAAGGAGGTTCTACAATGATCGAATACGTGAAAATTGAGTGAGGGACTAAAATGTCATTAGCTAATAGATGAGGGGGTTACTTGAAACTATACTTTTGATCCCTTGTAGGTTTTGGTGATTTGTGTAACCCTAAAAATTAATCGTGATACCCTTTTAATTAGGTTATTAATTGTAATGGAAATCAATATCAATAATCGATGGGCAATACCAATTTAGATGAAGCTTGATGCATGTGAATTTCTTCAATTCATGTTGAAAATGGGAATTCCAAAAGAAAATTCCTCCTTGATCGTTAGATCGCTGACACGGCCGCGCTACACAACCATACCCCTTATTAATAGTCGCGAATCGAAAACTCCCCATGTTGAGATAATCAAATGCACGAGGATGCTAATTAGACGTATGCGAGAGGTTCTATGAGACGGCATCCAGAGCCTTTATTACACGCTAGCAAACGAGAGATAGATACATTACAGGTTTCTGATACAATCAGATGGTTGGAAGTTGGAACCTCCACACAGTTGCGTTTTTAACACTCATTTTACACCTAACAGAAATCCAAGTAAATGATTTCTCCACAATCTAATCGAGTAGTGAATCTTTACGAGGAGGGGAACTATCGAAAACTTATCTATTTCGGAAACACCATAAAATGTAACAACTAGTGAAGAAGACTGCTTCTAGAGCTTTCTTAACATGACTGTACTTGTTTGAAGAGTTGATTTCGTTGATCATCGATTCCATGGACCTGTCCGCAGGGAAAGGATATTGACCACCATCTTTCAGTAAATCTCCAAACTTCTTACGACATGGTGCAATTGAACAGGAGATGATTGGTGGTTTCAGTTCCAGAGCCACAAAAGCGGACATAGAATATTGTCGAGGTCCGCATTCATTTTATTGAGATTGTCCTCGAAGGGATTTTATCTAGCATCACTCTCCACATAAATATTTCACTTTAGGGGGTCTCCTTTCCCCTACTCCCAAGTAAGCATTATCGATGTTCCGTCTCAAAGAACCAACATAGAACAGACCGTTAGAGGCGAGAGCCCAACTCAAACTATCGGATTTTAGGACAACAAGTAGTCCTTGGATTACTTCTTTTAAATGATCAAATTCCTTCGCCTCGTTTCCGTCTTGGATAGGTATACGCCGGTCCCATGAGTTGCTTTGAATTCATCTGAACATGAATCTTGTGGGGTTAGCTCAACTGACATCAAGTCTTAGGCCAATGGGGATTCTGCTTAGAGATCACCGGTTCAAGTCTTACAAAACTATTGAGAATTTTCTTGATTGTTCTCTAAGACTCCTAGAATTGATCGATATGTGCATAAAGTTGTTCCAGACAGAGTTTGATTAAAAATTCATCGTAAACTTTGTATAGTTGTATATGGTTTTTTCTTTCAATCGATCATAAACTTTGAGAAAAATTCAAAAAGAAAACCAAACAAATTATTTCATTTTAAATGATTAAATTCTTGAATTATTTTTCTAAATGAAAAAACCATCAAACTTTCTAATTTTAAATGATTAAGTCCCCGAACAATTTGTTTGAATGAAAAAAAACTATTAATTTTTTTTTATTTTAAATGAGATACCATTGAACTCTCATTTTGAAAGATTAAGTTCCTAAACAAAATTTTCAATAAATTAAACCATCGAACTTTTAGAAATTGGTTACGTATATCATTTTAACCCAAAAATAGTACTTGTAATCAGTAATCTTTTGATAGATCAAAAAGCGGGAGATCAATTGCAGGGCCAAAAGCGTGTTAGGCGGTATGAAGAACGGACAACGCTGGGGTAGCAGAGAGTGCCCCCAGGGGGGGGGGGGAATACCATTGTTTGCAAAGAGTTTTAATAGCGTTGGATTTGGTTACAATATAACTGATGGCGTATTAATTTATTCAAAAAAATGTTTACGAACTTAATAAATCGAAATAAGAAAGTTTAACGGTTTTTTCATTTAAAAAATAGTTCAAGAACTTAATCATTCAAATTGAGATAATTTGTTGGGTTTTTGTGAACTTTTCTTATAAACTTTCTAAGACTCACCAATTAATTAATGGTTTGGTGTCAAATCTGAAACCCTTATTTTTCATATTAGTCCATGACCAAGCCAACAGTGATGTCGCACTTAAATGTAAATAACTTTTACTATTTACGTTTCATGCTCATGATGTGTCGATTCAAAAGTTCAAAACATTGTTTTATAACATGTTTGGAAACACGTGTTTTTTTGTTTTGCTACTTTTCGTTTTTCATTTAGGCCCTCATTCGTTAGATCAACTCTGAAATGCTTCCTTACATATGGTTCCTACTTTCTAGAAACCCGTAACCAAAATATATATATATATATTCATAGGAAGTTTTGATGAAAAGCAAAATGGAAGGTGGGCAACTTTTGAAAAGACGAAATTGACCAAAATCTTTACTTTACAAAACCCTAAATAGAATCCTTTGGAGATTAAGAAAAAGAAATCAAAGAATCCCATTTTTTGTGATGATTACGAAATACACTTTGAGCTGTGTACCCGCAGCCTCTTGCATACTTCTTTATATTTTGTGTACGTACTTCCATCAACATTCACTCTCCAAAACCCTCATCTGCTAAGTAAACAGTTTAATTGAAGGTCAAGGACTACGACACCACTAGATCAAAGATCTATTTGTAATTGATATACATGTTAGTTGGTTTGGTTTGGTTCGGTCATAATTGTCATCTCTAAGTAATCTTTTTGACTTCTAAAAGTCAATCTTTCCTCTTTGTTTTTATTTTAATGAGTGTTCTTTGTGTGTGGAAAAAATGATCACCAACTTAATTTGAAGCATGCCCCAATGGGTAAGTGATGAGGTCATGTTTTCCTCCTATAAAGCCTTGTGAAATGCCTTTCTCAACACAACTAGTTGTTGTTTAATCAACAAAGGATGAAAAATGACATCATGTTTTGTTACTACATATAACAAAGTTGATGTATATTATAACTATAATTATAATTATGCATGCATAGAAAGTAAAGGTTTGATGGTATATAAAGTTATTTAATGAAAGTGAAGTATCAAAAATATCTAAAATACACCAAGATACACAATGTGATACCCGAAATACATATAAAATGATATCCAAAACACACCAAGTAAATTTCGAAACCACTATGATACCAACTGTATTACCACTATGATATCTAAATCACCCTTACACCACTAAGCTCTCTCACAAGTATGATCACATGTGATATGTGTTGTTGATATGATACTATAATTCATCAAGACTATCACATGTGATGCTAAATCATAGACGCAGACAACCTATGGCGCAGCAACACGTCGTTCACACATCACAGAGTCTCCTCACGCGTGTTATTATCACATGTGATAATGGTGTTCTCGTAAAATAAAAGTGTTTTCGTTTAAACCTCCACCTATATGTATGTATTCAAGGAATTAGATATTTACTTTTATGTGTCCAACATGTAAAACACTCCACAATAACCAACCCCTTGCCTTGTGAAGTGCCTTTTTTTCCTTTTTAAATACCAATGTCTTCTTCCCCTTCTTTACCTGCAAACACCAATTTCAGTCAATCAAATCAAAGTTACCAGTAATTAATTAATGGCCAACAAAGCATATATATATATATATATGGAGCTTGGTGCATGTAATGAATGTTCTTCATGTTAAATAAGGGAAAATTCCTCAATGATCTTAACACGATGATGAGGCGTGGTAAGATCGCCGGAAAAAACCCTCCATCGCCACCATAATTGGGCTGCTTCCGCCTTCTACCGCCACCCACAACGCGTCTCCTTCCCTACACCATGCCATTAACACCCCTCTTTACCCACTCTCTCGCTCTTTTCCACCCACGAGAAACACCGAAACCAACACCACCGCCTTGCTACCGCTAATGTGCCGCTGGCTATGGACGATTGTGATGACATAATCATAAATCCTGAACTTTTGAAGGCTCTTGATGATGTTATGAGCGTTGGTGACACCGTTTGACCATAAGAAACAAATATAAGAATATTTTTTCACAAAATTAAAGTATCGTTAGCCTATTGGTTAGTTCATCATTTTTCATATATGAGGTCCGGTGTTCAAGTTTTTTATACCAAATTCTTTTCAGAAACATAATAAATCTAAAATTAAAAGCCAAAAACT